CACAGTCTACGGGCAAGTAAATAAATGAAGCGTTCATATTCCTGCTGATTCAGGGACTGAATGCAGTGGGGAAACACCCCCATGAACCTGCCACGGGGCTGGGGTCAGCAGGCAGCTGCCCTCAGCTTTTGGGAAGGGGGGGAAGCTAGGACAAAGTGAGGAGCGGCCAGGTTTGCATGCCTGTGCATCATCTGCCAGCTCATCTTGGGGCTCTGAGCGTCAACTTCCTTAGCAGGAAACTTATTTTTTCTTCCTGTGAAAAGCAGAAGGAGGAGAAATGTGTGAACGCAGAGAAAAGCGGGTCCTGGGGGAGGAAGGTCCTGCCCTAACTGAAGGAAGTCGCTGCCGTTTCCCCAGGGCAGGCATCAGTCGCGAGGACTTCTCCTGGCTGCCCCTACACCGTACCACAAATGCGGGCATGATCAAGGAGGGCGGCTTTCCCAGCCGAACATCAACATACTGTTGTACTCACAACGAGCAAACCCTTCTCCTGTCATTCTGCTCCTCCCCCGTATTTTTAGTGTTGGGTTGGGTTTTTTTTCCTAAATGCTTTCAGAGGTGCAGCACCGTGCACAAGCTGTGGAGAGCACAACCCACGGATGGCAGCGTCGGCATGCTGAATGACCAAATGCTGCTTTTCACAGCGAGGTCTCACCCCTCATCACCTTGGGAGTGGGTCCCTTGGCCTCTGGCCAGCTCCCCTAGAGCCCTTGGTCCCACAAGTGCTCCTCAGGGTCACAGATGTGATGGCATGCTATCCAGGGCCAGCTGAGCCAAAGGGTTTTTCATCAAAGCAACTTACGTGCTAGCGATACGCTTCAGCAGTTTCTTTACCCAAGGGGCCTCAGGATTCACGCACACCTTCCCTGAGGTTTTTAATTTAATTCTGAAATGCAAGGAGAGTTTATGAGCAGCATTACCCTCCCCTCCAAAGGCAGGGATTCAGGCAGCCAAAGCTGATCTGCATGACTCAGTTTTCATTTACAACGCCAGCAGGCTGCAGAAAGCTGCTGGCCACACAGGGAAGCCACAGGATGGTCAGGAAAAAGCAAGACGCAGCATGTTTCCATACGGAGCGGAGACCATGCTTGAAGCCCAGACATGACTGTTCAAAGATAATTTTCTCTGTGGATTCACAAATGTATCAGCACCAAGCAGTTAAAGAAATCTTACACTCCTGCTTAATGCACCGCTTTAGTCAGGACAGGTCTAATAAGCTAAGGCCTTGACCGAAGATGCTGTTTGCTCTCAGGAGTGTGGCGTAGCAGTGGAAAAATTGGTTATGGCTCATCTTGCCTTGGTGTCCAAAGGTGCACTTCCTCCATACTGCAAATGCCCCCTACCAGCATGCTCCCCGCTAAGCACCAGCACAAGGAAATCATGCTTAGCTTTGCTGGAAAGGCTCATTTAGGTCCCAGGGACCTCTTCAGATTGGCTCAGGTGCGTTTCCTCCACTCGATGCTCCTCAGCCCCGAAGCGCGAGTGAGCTTGCTGGCATTTTTGAAAAGCTTTAGTTTTCAGAAAGGGAGTGGAGAAGCTGGGTGGTTGCAGAAGAAAAAGCACAGCACTGGCCCCACGGCTCTGCAGGAACTGTAGGAGAAAGCAGCTTTCTGCCCCGTGAGCCACACCTCAGCACTTACATGATCTCTGTACGTCTGCAGGTGCTTCCCACAGGTCTGATCTCAATGCTTTCATATCTCTTCGGACTGATGTAGTCTGAAGCTGTCTTTATGCACCTACAGTTCAGGTTTCCATTTACCTCCAGAATGGCTGAGAAAGAGAGAAGGTAGCAACTTACAGAGACAAACAACGTTATTTAGAGGTGCAGCAACTCCAAATCTCTTAGAGCACCAAAGAAATTGTCCCTTTCCACGGTTTCATTTGCAACGCTTTGGGGACCACAGTAAGAAAGTGTTATCTGCGCCTCTATCTTAGTACCCTGATCTCACAGAACTCCAGAAAGCTGAACCAAGTCCTAGTAAAGAAGGACAATCATGCTCTTTCCCTAGCTATGAGAGAAACTCTGGGCTAAACAGCCAGGAGGAGTCCCTGTCTCCTTTGGTCCCTTTGGGTGCAGGATGCGGGTGATGCCCACCCATGGCCAGGACCACGGCAGACTGGGAGCTGACAGCTGGGGGTATCTCTGCAATGACACCAGAAGCTCACCTGCATGGACTGAGTGGGCCATCACCAGCAGCAGCAGCAGCCACGGGAGCACAGGGGCTCCTGTCCACACCCCAGCTGGCGCTCGCATCCTCGCAGCAGGCTCAGCCCCAGAGATGGTCTGAGGAACCGGGTGAAGAAACACCACTATTTATTCAGGAGGGTCACGCTCTGACATGAGCAGCAAGATTCAAACTTCAGCAGTCACGTCTGACCAGCGGACCGTGAAGAGAGGTGACGTAATTTCTCGGATGCTCTCCACAGCCAGGTCAGAAGCTGAATTTACAATGCTATTGATTAAAATCAGCCATTGGGACAAAGTGCATATCTGGATTCCCCACACCCTGTTTCTGTTTAGTTGGGTCTATGCAATCATCACCCTTTGCGCCCTTTAGCATTTACCCCTCAACCACAAAAAGAGCCCAGAAGAAAATCAAAGCACAAACCCCGGGTACACAGGGGTTTTTTTAATGCTCTCAGATATTTACATATTTCTTTCTCAGGGCTATAATTCCCCCACGCTATTTTTTCTCTTTCTTACATCAGCAAAAATGCCTGACACTATACCGTGGAAAAATAATAAAGATCTCTGCTGTACGTTTCCACTCAGAGCCTTCAAATCTAGCACTTTGCTGTACGAGTAAAACACCCAGGAAATGCAAGAGATGACTGGTACAGTAGCACCAGCAAAAAAAAGCAAACTATTCCTGTATCTCTGCACATTTGTGACTAAGTGCTGATATGCACATTTATCAGCAGCAACTTTCTTGATACCAGCGGCCTGGGAGTGAAACACAGATGGATGCCAGAGAACAGCAGCAGAAAAAGCAACAGGGGGTGGGATGGACTCAGGGATTTGTGAGGGCGAGACCTGAGCTCTTCCCTTGCAGTGTTGGGACTGGAAGAAGGAGGACTGCAGCCCCACTGTTTCCCTAGTGAACATCTCTCTATGTTAGATCCAGAGTGTCCTTCAGTGACATAGGGATCAAATCCCCACTGAGATGTGCAAGGAGACACAGGCCAGCACCAGAGGGTAGCTTCAGCAATCTTACAGTTTGGCCCCATTTAGTAGCCCATTACATCACTTAGGACATGAAATAGTCTAGGCTTAGTTAGAGGTGTCCTGTCTGCTTACTGTTTCAGGAAAATGAGCTTTTATTACATTATCAGCTCAGAGGTGCTGTGTGCTATGCAGTCAGTGAGCCAATTCCCCATCATTCATGGCAGTAGGCATAATCGAATGGTAGTAGGCAAACTATTGACATCAATGTCAATGTGTATGTGGCAGTGAGAAACTGTAGGAGCATAGAGAAAGGGAGGTCAGGCCATGCACAGCTTTCCAATGCTGTAGAGCCGTGTGTCCACAAGGGTTTAAGGCTTTGCTCTGGCATCACAGAATCCTCCGGGCCTTACACACAAGATCAAGGCAGATGATTCTTCCCCTCTGCTCCACTCTCATGAGACCCCACCTGCAGTGCTGTGTCCGGCTCTGGGGCTCCCAACAGAAGAAGGACATGGACCTGCTTGCGTGAGTCCAGAGGAGGCCACAAAGATGCTCAGGGGCTGGAGCACCTCCCTTGTGAGGACAGGCTGGGAGAGTTGGGGGTGTTCAGCCTGGAGAGGAGAAGGCTCCGGGGAGACCTTATAGCGGCCTTCCAGTACTGAAAGGGGCTACAGGAAAGCTGGGGAGGGACTCTGCATCAGGGGGTGTAGGGATAGGGTGAGGGGTAATGGTTTTAAACTGAAAGAGGGCAGATTTAGATGAGATATGAGGAAGAAATTCTTTACTCTGAGGGTGGTGAGGCACTGGCACAGGTTTCCCAGAGCAGCTGTGGCTGCCCCCTCCCTGGCAGTGTTCCAGGCCGGGTTGGACGGGGCTTTGAGCAACCTGAGCTGGTGGAAGGTGTCCCTGCCCATGGCAGGGGGGTTGGAACTAGATTATCTTTAAGGTCCTTTCTATGATTATGTCTGCCCATTTTGGGGGACCATCAGCTGGTGCTTCCCTCTCCACACATTTCACAGTGTTTTTTGGTTTTCTCTGAAAAAGAGCCATTGAAGGACTAAAGCAATGCATTTTAGCACTCAAGGGGTCAGTCTTCAGCTCTCACACAGGATATTCAAGGGCCACCACTGCAAAGTGATGCTACAGTAGCATCCCATGCTCTCAGGTTTTGGGTGGGACGGGGCTGCCCTGAATAAGGCAAAACTCACCAGCCAGGAAGCAAAAGGGGAAGGGGACTTATATCCATGATAGCAAGGCAAGGAGGAAGGAAAAGGACAGAAGAAAAATTATGTGGTTGTGTGATAATGCAATTTGGAGATTTCAAATCACATCAGCATTTTATATAGTAACAAAATGGTAAACTAAAAGAAAAAAAGTATTCCACTCAAACTGTAAGCTACTTATCTTTCTCATAAAAACTTGTTTTTTCTCTGAGATAGGTCCAAGAGTGCTGTAAAGACACGAAAGGATTTGTAAAAAAAGTGAGGTTTTTATGTAAAAAAAGTTTTGTAAAGAGATCAAGGTCAAAAGTGGACAAGTGTGGAGTTTAACTTCCTGTACATTAGGGTTGCAGAGAGGCCAGAGACAACCTCCATGAGCTATTCTCAAGGTCCAATGGAGGGAATGAGAGCCTTGCTGCTATGGCTATGGAAAAGGAGATGGCTTAAATTGTTTTTGTTCAATACTTCCAGAGTTTTCAATTTCTTTGCAGAGAGTTATTAGGAGTCCAACATAGCATTGGTTTAAGTGGTTTTGCTGGGTCATGGCAGGGATCTCTTCAAATCAAGGTCTGCAAAATGGTAGGGAAGGCAGCGATTTACTGGGAGAGATGACTGGTCACCTACTCAAAGTGCTGTGGAGGCACCAAAAAAAGTTTCAAAGTGTTTCTGAAGTAGATGACTTCAAAATGATCCTGCTTTCATAGCTGGGGAAAACCAAGAGAAGTGAAAGCAACTTTCCCCAGAGCTGTGCGGCAGAGGACAGTCAGGGCATGCGGCTGGGGCTCTGACTGTGGCCCTCCCACAACACCAAGGGAAACCAACACCAGCGCTGGCAGTGCTTAAGGAACTAGTACAGGAATAAACTACCCCTGGGAGACATGCAATGGACAGACCAAAATAACTCATAAGCGAGATTGCCCCCAAGATTTGTGGCTACAGGGCAGGTGTCAATCTTCTGCCTACTCTGGAGGGAAGTGGGAGATGCAGAAGTGTGTTTTGGCTAGATGGATTTAGATAGGTGGGTTTAGAGGGGTCCTGGGCAATCAGTTTGGCCACAGCACCTCAGTTTTATCCTGGGGCAGATGTTTGCCCATAGACCTATGTAAAATCCCAGGTGCTTTTACTGAGGTCGCCTCCTCTAGGAATGTGCTGCTTTGTGCTGACACGTTGCTTTATGTCAGTCCTCGCAACGCTTCTTCCATGACAGTCATGGTGCCCATTAACTCACTTTGTACCCAGGATGAAACCCACACATCCCTCAGGGGGTGGACAGGAGGGCCTCCTCTTCATTGCGAGTACCAAGGGAGTTGTACCCTCTGCAGAGGCAGCCTTGGCAGCAGGAGAAGTCAGCATTGCCGGGACAAAATAACATGCTGACCCTGGGGCTGTGGGGAAGCAACAGCGGTCATGGCATCCTTTGGTCAGGCAGTGCTGCCCAACAGTATCCCCGGCCCGGCCCGGCCCACGGATACCCTGGAAAGACAGCCCAAAGTGCAGGCTCAGCTCTGCCATTTCAGACAGTGAGGTGGCATGGCAGTCATTGCCTACATGGCTACAAAGATGAACAGAGCATAACCAGCAGTTCCCTTTCAGACATGCCTTCTTGATTCATACCTAGACACAGATTTTCATAGTGAAGCCCAGCTCTGGCTCCATCTCTGAAGCGATGCATTTGGGTTTCCCCCAGGACGCTGGGGTGGTTTGGTGAATCCCCACCGCATCACCCCAGAAGACGTGCATTTGCCTAGTTGTCCTCAAGCTGATACAAGTTTCTGCTTAGGGTAGGAAAGGTAAAATGAACATGGACGTGGCAAGAAAGGAGAATTTGACAGAGATACTGTAATCCCAGGGTTTCTGAATCGTCTTGATAGTAGCCACAGTGGTTTTGATGTATGACTAATGTGTATATTGATAAACATTGTGGTGTTTTCTCAGGAAGGAAAAGCTTGCAGTCATTGCGGGCAGCTAATATTTGTGCATGCTGAGTGGTAATTCTGAAAAGGGAGAAGGAGAGTGAGGATCTAGCCTGTGACTATATTTAAGCTAACCACTTCCTGTATGCCAGTAATTCAGAAGATTGGCCCTCATGCATTGATCTGTAGACTTATCCAGGCCAGCATCAACTGAAAGATGTGAGAAATATCCTAACAGCTTCTGTATTTTCTGCAGCAGCTGTAGCTTTGAAGGCAAGATTTTGATTTGAGTTTTATTTCTGTTATTTTTATTAGATTTTTGAAGGTTTTTTACACCCACTGGATCCTCATAGAATTCTAGAATGGTTTGGGTTGGAAGGGACCTTAAATATCATCTAGCTCCAACCCCTTGCCATGGGCAGGGACACCTTCCACTAGACCAGGTTGCTCAATTCCCCGTCCACCCTGGCCTTGATCACTTCCAGACATCCTTCCTATGGTACCTAAAGCAGAGGTTTACAAAAATGTGATGCGAATACCTCCCAGAGGCCACAACTGCGGCAGGAAAGAAGTGCTCTGCTGCGTGGCTTTGCTGTGTTTCTGCAGCCATTAAACTGCTGAAAACCATGTCATTTAGTGGTATCAGGCCTTAGAAAGTCTCAAAATAGTTCAGCGAGGTCAAAGATTTTCTTGAAGACATAGAATGGTGATAGGAAATGAAAGAGGAGATAGGTGAGCCTCATGTGGAAGGAAGAGAGGTCATGCTTTTTGGCAGAGGGAAACTGGAGCTTTTAGATGCCTGACCCCTCTCCAAAAGATAAGGATGGAAAACCAGTCACAGTGTCTTCAAACACATTGAGCGAAAACTTGGTCTGTAACAACAAGGCAGCTTCAAAACTGAGCAGAAAATTACCTGAGATAAATGAAGCAGGAGGAAAAAAAAACAAAAAAACCACTTTTCCATGTTTGATCAGGATGGGTACAAACCCAACCCTGACGTAAATGCTGTGGAGATGCCAGCACTCCTGCCCTCCAGTGAGGACTGGTGTGCTCCACAAGCAAGGGCATAAGGATTCACAAGAGGCTGCATTGGAGACGTCTGTAGCAAGTAATCCTCTTGGCCATGTTGAAACCACTAGGTTTGTTTTGAGAAAAAGCTAACTTTGAGCACACCCCTCCTTTCTCCACT